TATGAACAATAACACTTCCAATAGGTATCCAAATTTGACCACTGTGTTTCTCTGAAAAAGATTGGAGTCTTTGTGTGCTCCATGTTTTCAGGGAACAAACATAGATGCTGACCTACAGGGTCAACATGCAATTTAATCTCAGAGGGGCTCTCCAGTCTTACAAGGCTACTAGACATGGAAGGAGGCAGGGCCAAAAAGATAAGAGTGTTGACCCTTATCTGAACCCAACTACATGCAGGTTAACCTACTACTGAAGAACACGTATTTCATGGGAACACTGGTCAAGTTCGTACTGCTGCAGTGACTCACAGTAGCACAGACTGCTGGTACTCTCGTCTCAAAGGCAAAATCCTACATTTATCATGAGGAGATTGTCTCCCAATTGCGTTTTGTGTAAAAAAAGCAGAGATGAGGGTCTATCTGCGTCAATAGAACAATGCTATAGTATAAGAGCATACTGCTATTTATTCTCCATTCTTCCCATTTCAACTCTGGATATGTCTTTGTCACATGTCAGGTGGCTCTACACTATGTATTTAGCCAGACAGGCTTTGATGTATACGAAGCTGTGATGATGTGGGCGATAAATTGTTCTGAAAGGCCATAGACGATATGAAAAGAAATTAAGGGCTTGAGTAGTAATTGTATAAAATCTTTTCACAAAGACTGACTGTAGTCTGACACGTCAGTTTGACTTTCTTTTGTGTTTATTTAAAAGAAAAAAATATGTTTTATGATTTATATAGCCAAGGGGGCACTTTTTTTGGATTTGTCTTGCCTCCTAAAGTGCTGCTAATACAGTGAGTGTCGGGGGCTATAGAACAAAAAGCCATTAGGGATGGTTGAAAAGGAAGCTCATTTTTAACATAGCGTCAATTTGCAGTCTTCTCTATTCCTGCTGATTTGAATGTGGAAAAGAGGAGGGAGGGCGTCAGATAAGGAAGCAGGAAGGTCATTATTTCAAGGAGAATTGAGTGACATGAATGTTGTCATTTTTGCAGACAGTCATGCTTTACTGCAGTGCTTTTATCAGAGAGTTTGACATCAATATCAGCAGTTAACCCTGATATTCAGTAGAAAACACAGCGGGGGGGCAGCTCCCTCTCAGTCCTTGAGTGCCCCGCTGCCATATCAGTAACATGATGACGGTGCATTGTTTGCTCTGCCAAATGCCAAAGCCTTTTTTCCCAAGGTCTTTTGATTAGTCTAATCAGGACATCACTGCCGTAATGGCATTATTAACAGGATATTGGCCCAACACAATATCATTTAATATCACCGTGAAAAGATTGATTTGAGGTGAATATGTGAATGGATCAGTAGCATGTTTATTATAGGCAAGTGTTAAACTAAGGTAATAAAATATGAAATCACTCAGGCAGAACTTTAAACACTGAGGAAATTCAATTGATCGACAAAAAAATGGGCATTGAAATTTGCAAAATGACTCAAAACTCAATGGATAATCTCGATACACACACATTAATCCAGCAAAAGACTCAGTCTTTTAGATTTCTTAATTCTTTAATTATTTTCGATTTAAGTATTTTCTGTCTGTAACTAATGGCACATTTCCACTGCAACGGGGTAGCCCCGTTTAAGCGTCCCTAAGCGTCCTCGCTCAGGCCTCGGGCTGCCTCGCTGGCCGTCCGAGGCCGTGGCGCATTTCCATTACAGTTTAGGACCTGGGGTAGCAACGCAGTGTAGGCGGGGCGATCGGCTTTGTTTTTGTTCACATTTCGAGTTGTTCCGTCGAGCTCCCGCTGGATTTGATCATCCCCAATGAGATGTAGGAATGTTGTCACCTCCTCGGTCGACCACGGTGTGCTTTTCTTATTAGACGTAGCCATTTTTGTAGCTCATCCGTTTACAAAATGCTGTGTATAAAAATGCTGCCAGCTTGCTTCTAAATATATATGCGACGCTAGGGATGAACTCGCGCGCGATCTTGTGACGATTCTCTCTGACCAATCAGCAGTCGAGAGTGTTGACGTCACTAGTTCAGCCCTGGCCCTGGTCTGAGAGAACCACGATTTTATGGGGCCGGAAAAAGAGGGAAAAAGTACCCGCTAGCCGGTACTAGGCTATATGGAAAGGCCACCAAAAACTGGCCTGGCCGCTTGAGGACGGTTAAGGACGCTTAAACGGGGCTACCCGCTGCAGTGGAAATGCGCCATAAGTGTTTTTCTTTATACTTCTGCCTGTCTTGGCCAGGTTTACCGAGGCAACATATTTATTTTTTTACTTACTTTGTCATTTCAAATTCACCCTACAGATATCTTATTCCATTTCATATTGTGACTGAGTGCATTGGATGCCATATGTTAAGTATAACGCTCTGTAACTCTTAACAATATTATAATGCAACTTTAGTAGGGTTTTATTATATGAATTACAGTGAATTTGACACCACTCCATCTGTGCATAAAGCTGTTCTGAAGCCTTAAACTTGGAATGTGAAAATGAGCAACACTCCAGCCTTTTGTATAAATAATTGATAACATTATTTAAATACACTCTATACCACGCATTAATATTGAAATCTACAGCGATAATATGTATGCTACCTATCAGTTTCATGGATACAGAAAATGTTTTTTCTTCCATTGGACTCCTGTGTTTACTTCTGTAACATAATGACATCACTACGTAACACGTGCGCTATCATTGGCTAGTGCTCCAACACATTGCACGTGATAGGCTAAGGGACGGGACATCTCTAAGCGGTTGACCAATCACAACAGAGCCGGCCAGCTAACCAATCAGAGCAGACTGGGCTCTGGTTTCAGACAGAGGGTGAAAAGAGGTGCTGCAGCACAGGCAGTATGAGAACAATAAAGAGCTTTTTGAACATTAAAGCCTGGAGACATGTCCCAGTAGAGACACTAAATAGAAATATGAACCAGAAAATAAGCAAAATGGACCTTTTAATCAAGGGACACTGTTTCTCATGTATAATAATTAGTGAATGAGAAGACAGGACTACAGTGAACTCTCACTAATAACAGTCACTCACACCATATTAATAAGTTTGACCTCGATTTGATATAAGGATTTGAATTCTAAGCGGATAGATGGATGGATGGAAGAATGGTTGAGTTAGATTTTTGTGTCAGCTTAAGACGTATAATCACTGACATCATTACAGATAACTGGGACATCTTCTGATGGAGTAATGCACCGTGACTGTGAGAGTCTTACGCAACGTCTGATACAAATCCCTTTTTGTTTCTTGAGTTTATGACAGCTTCATGCAGCAAACTGAAGGCTCCGTAGAGGTCTTACTGAAAATGTCATAGGGTTGTAGTATATGCATGGGGTGTTAAATAAACCCCCAAAATAACAATTCTCAATTGTATCTTTCAGTTGAACAAATAATATTTTGTATTCTCGACAAATCAAATGAAAGCACAGGTATATATAAAGCAAATGCTGTGTAGGGATATATCTTAATACTCCTCAAGTAGACTTATTTAAGACATGCCATTACACTGACTGGCATGGCATTTATTTTATTTGATATTATATATTCTATAATGTATTTTACAGTAGTAGGATTGTGTATGTGGGATAGAAGCAAAATAAATTAGTGCTCCAAACACATATAAATCCACAGCTGAAAAATAGTTCCGTACAATTGCACTATTTACTTTGCTGAACTTTATAGTTCCCTGCTGCATAATTCAGGATTTGTGGCTGCGGAATTGTCTTTTCTGAAAGTCGTAGTAGTAGTACTGTAGCTACAAAGGGTGAGGCTAATGCAGGACACCCAAAACTTTTATTCTGAAAATCGGACGGTTTCCAAAAAAAACACAGCTGAACTGTTGGGATTCATAAGAATGAATCTGTCAACAGAATGTAGGTCTGTAGGTGATCATATCTCTGGAAATAATATAGTAAGAAGGAAAACAATATTTGCTATTATGTTTTAGGAATTCAGAGTGCTCTGCAAGTCGCTGTAATCCCTAGATGGTGTTAATAAATTATGATGACACAGTAATGATGATTAAGATGATCACAAAGCAGACAATTATGAGGATGAAAATGATGTGATGGAAGATTTTGCCAATTGCTCTGCAGGATTGTTTTTCTTTGTTGGCACTGATGTTAAAAGCAAATATGGCTGTTGGTGCCATCTGGTACCTTATGGTATGTTAGGGGATTAGTCACTCTCAACATAAATTGTCTAAGGGAATTTCCTTTGTCGTTTCAGTATGGCCACCGCCCCCCAACAGCGAGCTCTAGTCTATTTTCCATCTGCATGCATTTCCTCTTCAGGAGCATATTTCCAATTTACTTTCATCCTCAGCCTGGCACTTGGTATGTCAGCACATTTGTAATGCATAGAGTTTTTCATTGGAGGATACAGATACTTCACATGTGCGTGCACACACACACACACACACACACACACACACACACACACACACACACACACACACACACACACACACACACACACACACACACACACACACACACACACACACACACACACACACACACACACACACACACACACACACACACACACACACACACACACACACACACACACACACAGCTGAGCTAAATTGCTGCTATTTGCAAAAACTCCTTTGTCCTCACATCGATAAAAAAAAAACATCACTCAACTTCTCCACATTCATCATTGCTTCCTAGAATTTCATTAATCCCGGTACAGTAGAAAGAAGAGAAATACTTATTATTGTTATTGTTCTTCTATTTCTTGGCATTTCAGTTCATGACGCAGATTCCACGACGATTTGATTCAAAGTCAGTCAAGATTGAATGGATTCCTTTCATTAGCTTCCGACAAATTGCCTTTTTAGTGAGAGAAGAGCATTTGCATTATTCATTTGTGAAAGAGCAAGCATTTATGAGTTCATTCGGTGTAGTTGTAGATGGACTCAGAGATAAACAGTGAATGACTAATCACAGAGGAGGATGAACCACGGAGAATCTGTTCTGACCTTTAACCTCACGTTTTGCTTGTGTAGGTGATCCAGCGCAGGGAGGATGGCTCGGTCAACTTCTTCAGAGCATGGGAGTCCTATCGTGAGGGATTTGGCAAGATCACCGGTGAACACTGGCTCGGTAAGTGACTAAGAGTGTGTGAGTGTGTGTTGACCATATGCGTACTGTGGCCTGTAATGCAAGATGAAACCCTGGAACTAGATAAGATAAGATTAGATCAAATAAGATAGAACTTTATTGATCCCAATTTGGGAAATGTTTGTGTTGCAGCAGCATAACAAGACAGGGCATTATACACTACAAATTAAAAGACAAGAAATAAACAAGAAAGTAGAAAATATACATGTTGAATTTACAAATTAACAATAACAAGATATAAAGCAAGGTATTATATTTACATAAGTATGTGACAGATGGAATATTAAATATTATACTGAATATATAAATGTAAAATGTACAGTGAAGAGAGAAGCTATGGAGCAGAGAGTTCTCTGCCAGCCAGAGGTGATTTGTTGTACAGTGTTATTGCAGTGGGCAGGAATGTTTTCCTATATATGTCCTTGTGACAGCGGACATATACACACAGTGTGTGAAATACGGGGGGGGTCCGGGGGAGCTCGACCCCCCCCGATTAACACCTGAGCCCCCCTGAAAGCCTCAACAGCAAAATGTAGGGGGGGTCTGAAATTATAATATGTATTTGTCACTTGCAATGGTCACTAAAATGTTTTTAAGCTTACTATGTCCAGTATTCATAATTCAAAACATTTATTCACAAATATCTTCTATGTTGGCTGTCAAAAGCAGAGCCAGCCGCCGTGACGCGGGTACGCTGCGTGACGCGGACACAAATTATGCAAATTAGCCACGCGCTGCAAAGAGGAGAGAAATACGTTACATTAGAGAGGACTACAATGTCTAAGAGAAAGCTAAACCAAAGTGTTTCACTCGCGCACTTTGGGTTCACATCCAAAAAAGTGACACCACAAGATGACCAAGAGACACCCAGAGATGATGCTGATGATGCAGCAGCTATCATAGCACTCGCTACTGTAGAGGAAACTTCTGTGTAGCTATGCAGTGGGAGTCACCGACTCAGGAAGGAGACACGGGAAGAGCAGTAGCTTTGATGTCAAACACATGATGGTTTATTTGGAGTTAACGGCCGGAGGATTCACATCACAAGTCCAAGAGTCAGAGGTTCTGACTTCACGGTAGAGTTGCCACGTCAATTCTGAAGAACTCTACCCCAGACCCATGTATTTAGCTAGTTCAGAGAGCATCATCAACATGCTGCATAACAAGATAGAATGATAACACCTCTATCAGCTGACGCCAACAGGCAGGAACAGGGAGACAAAACACTGAGAGCACAGCAGCCAAGGTTACAGGTGCCTGTGCTCAGTCAGGACAGTTTGAACTGATACACTGGGTCAAAGTTATGGGCCTTGGAAAATATTTCCACAACAGCTACCAGAACCGTTAGCGAGTCAGGGGCTCCTGTCCCGCCCAGTCACTCCCCAGAAGGAGGTGAAGTTGAGGCAGAGCGCTCAGAAGACGCAGCAGTTGCGGAGGTAGCTGCTACTGCTAGTGACTTTCTTCACTTTAGTGGCGAATGGAAAGACCGCAACCCCTGGCTTGACATTAAGGCTGGAAAGTTAGGATGCTTAGTGTGTAGGAAAGCAAAAACGTTGCTGCTAAAGGGACCGGGTTTACACCTAGCGGAAGAATGGATCAATGGTGATGTTACTAGCCCTGATGCAAAACAGCTACGAAAGAAGATCTACAAACACAGGGACAGCCAGGCCCACGCGAGGTCAGTGGAAATAGTACAGATGAAAGACAAAGAAACCCTCCCAAACTGTTTCATTGATGTAGCCTACAGTCCGATTTACTCAAGAAAACAACAGTCTCGTTTAGAACAGCTTACACCGTAGCAAAGGAAAGGCTATCTTATAAAAAGCTCAACCCCCTCATGACAATGCAGGAGCTGAATGGAGCCGAAGTTGGGAATATCCACAAATCTGACCATGCATGCGCAGAAATAATAAGTCACATTGCAAAGGAAATGTGCCGCAAGTTCGTCTCTAATGTGAAATAAATGGATTCAAAGGTATCAATCACAATTGATGAAAGTACCGTTCACGGTCGTCCCTATCTAATCATTTGCGTAAGATGTGATGTCAGTGGTAAGGGGGATGTAGATAATGTGTTCCTGGATATAGTGGAACTTACAGATGGGGTCGATGCTGAATCAATTTATAACTCAATGATGGCGAGTCTATATAAAGCTGGAATGGATGATGACTTTTTGAAGACGCACCTAATAAGCATAGCCACCGATGGGGCTGCAGTGCTCACGGGAAAAGCCAGTGGGCTTGTCGTCAGGCTCAAAAACAAGTTTCCGAACATGCAGTCTGTACACTGCCTGGCGCACAGACTAGAACTGTCAGTCAAAGATGCTCTTAAAGAAGTGGGTGGCACTAATCAGTTTGAGATATTTATTTCACATTTATACTCACTCTACAATCAGTCAACCAGGAATTCCAGATTGCTGAAAGAAGCAGCGGCCGAGCTCAACATGGAAATACTGAAAATAGGTCAAATGTTCACCATCAGATGGGTTGCCAGCAGCTTTAAAACAGTAAAAGCTGTATGGAAAGATTTTCCCGCACTAGCATTCCATTTTAAAACATCCAGTGAGAACGCATCACGTAATGATCTTGAGAGGCAAAAATACAAGGGTCTTTTCAAGCACCTAACCAACTCAGGATTCGTGGAAGATTTGGCTGTCATGAAAGACATCCTGCGTGAACCCCAGAGCCTGTCTCTCAAGCTGCAGAGAAGAGAAATGACACTTGTGGACTCAAGTGTCCACATCAAACAAACCATAAATGTGTTGACCGCCATGAAGACGACCGGGGGGAGATCAACGAAGAAGGCTGAACAGGGCGTCTCATCAGGCTTTTTTAAGGACGTAGAGCTGACAGAAGGCAGGGGGAAAATAAACAAGCCTCGTTTTTATGAATCGGTGGTTGCTACTCTAACCAAGCGCTTACCGGAGTCAAGCTTGGTCCAGACGCTCAAAGCTCTTGATAAGCGCTTTTGGCCTGGAGAGCAGGAAGACTTGACTTTGTTTGGCGAACAAGAAGTGCACCGTCTGGCTAAATCGCTCGGAGAACCAGCCGGGGAGGCCGTGGAGCAGTTTAGAGACTGGAAATTGCAGGGCACTCCACCGGGCAAAACACTGGAACGGCTATGCATAGCAAGTCGCACTTACCTCCCCACGTCTGCTGAGTGCGAAAGAGGCTTTTCCGCCGTGAATAACACCGACAACCAGAGCCGCAACAGGTTGCGCGAGGAGAGCCTGTCTTCGCTTCTGTTTGTGGACCTAAACGGACCCCCTTTGGACAAATTCGACCCAGTGCCGTTCGTGAAAAGCTGGATTAAAGCAGGACATCGTCTCTCTTCTTCTTGGAAACCAGGACGGCAATGAGAAGAAGTCGAGCCAAGGCATCTTTGGTCTATTCTCACTTAAGGTAAAAGACAATTTTTTCGATCTTTGCTGTGCATAAGATGAACGTGTGCGTATGTCCTGTGTGGATTCCGGGGTTAAGAATAGCATAATTAGCCTTGGCGTTCAAGTTAGTGTGTGTGTGTGTGTGTGTGGGTGTGTGTGTGTGTTTGTGGGTGTGTGCAGGCCCGCACCTCCCTACACGCAGACCACGCAGACTGTGTGTGTGTGTGTGTATGTGTGTGTGTGTGTGTGTGCGTGTGGGTGTGTGTGTGTGTTTGTGGGTGTGTGCAGGCCCGCACCTCCCTACACGCAGACCACGCAGACTGTGTGTGGGTGTGAAGGTGTGTGCAGGCCCGCACCTCCCTACACGCAGATCACGCAGACTGTGTGTGTGTGTGTGTGTGTGTGTGTGTGTGTGTGTGTGTGTGTGTGTGTGTGTGTGTGTGTGTGTGTGTGTGTGTGTGTGTGTGTGTGTGTGTGTGTGTGTGTGTGTGTGTAAGACCAGCTCTGCTCCCATTTCCTCGCATAGAATCGAAAACAGATGGCTCTTTAACGGTCGCGTATTCATTCATATGAACGTTAGAATATATAATTATTTGACAGCGCCCGGTTGAGAAACGCTGCTACTACTGATTGTCTTGGATTGCATCCATGAAATATTGCATAGGCCTACTGCATATTGAGAAATATTCGACCGGTATATTGCGCAATAAACGGGAGATGGGGACCCCCCCGATTATTGACGGGTATTTCGCACACTGTATACACAGTATTGTCAACGTAGGTCCATTAGCTGAAGTGTTATCTTGATTATGAGACCTAATAAAACCTTAACTCTTAACAACACCACAATGGCAGCCGCTTTGAGATAAAGCAGAAAGAAGGAAGGACATCAAACAGACAGAGTGAAATAATGACGATTGATTGAGCGAGACAAATAGACAGCCATAGAAATGCAGATAGGGAGAGATAAGATGACTTTTCACATCATAAAGAAATGAATAATGAAAACCACTTGAGTGAGCATAATGAAGACGATTGCATCTAAAGTACAAGATGTGTGTAAAGTGCACTTTTATTATGGAAGTCTATTCGGCACCACAATATCACAACACAAGCCAAAAGACGAGCAATTCAATTACAATATTTGTTTTCACGCAAGGAAAAAACAAACAACAGTATAATTGTTCTTTTTACTATAATTTGTATTTTTCAGACTATGCTTGTCCAAATCCTTTTTTTCCCTCCTGGCAGCATGACACATTAGTCTATGCCTCCACTCAGATTTGACAGGAAGAGAATGCCAACATAGAATTAATTCGACTGTGAAATTATCAACTTTTCTAAAGCCAAATTATTTGTCTTGACACCACTTCTCATTATATGTTACAAACAAATTCTTCTTGGGGTGAATACGCTCAGCTTCCACCAAGTTTGTGGCTCAAAGCTGCTCGCACATTCATATCACTTGTATTTATTTTTGAATATGTTCACATTCACACAGACTACACACTTCATCGAGCGTATATTGAAATAGACAGCTTCTTCTTCCATCATGGCCTTTGTAGCTTCCTTTTAATTGGTCTGACATTTGTTCAGGTAG